AATAACGGTACTAGTCGTTGCACGGCTGGTGATACGTCTAGGGTAAAAGAAATTTGTTCTGGTGGATCTGCAGGTTTAGAAATCTGATAGCGAAAATAAAGGGGCTAGTTTAAAATCCAAATGCAGTTAAGACTATTGGTAACACGAGCTTCGATATGTAAAACGTACGTTATTTTAGACGAAGCATTAAAGGAAATGCTATTATCTCTATGGTTGGTCTATAGGACAGTGCTTGCATGGTAATAGCAGCGGGTTATATCCGGTAGGGAGAGACTAATAGAACATGAGTGATGTCACATTCTGTGACCTTATTATGTGTGAAGCTATCTAACATTGTGACAGGCTGGAGAAGGGGCTCCTGTGGGTTATGGGTAGCTTTCAATATAGGGAGACATATCCTTTCTTCTCATTCTTAATAGGGGGAAAAAATTGTTCACTCTCACGAATATTACAGCTGTGACATGCACTTGTAATTTTATTAAAAGGAATATATTGAATCCACAAAAAAGAAATACATATTTGCTTTGATCACGCACTTCTGTCGACGATTGAAAGGCTTTAATTGGTGCTCTTGGTATGACAGGCGCTTGCGGTACCCCCCTAAAGTACATTGTGTCGGAATTACACGTTCATTACATAGGTACAAGCCAAAATCAATTTAGCCAACCGTGTTCGTTTCCATTCGGGATTTTGAATAGTTCTTGAATTCTTTTTCCGGAGCCGCATACGAAATTAAGGATCAACAAACCATAGATCAATTCCAGAAATCCCCAGGACGGAGCTTCAGTGAAAACGAACAGAAACCCTATCTATAGAATAGCATATTGAGCTATTTGGTTTCGCTGTACGTTCAATGCAATGCAGATAGTAAAAATCTCAGGTGAGAACTCGGGACATTATTTTTTTTTTTGACTACTATTGTACCTTGAGGTAATAAAAAAAAACATATCTAGGCGTAATACAAATATTGTTACCTAGTGAATAGATTAGAATTAAAGCTTGTATGCGATTTTGGTTACGTTAGGAAAGTACGATAATAAATAAACGATTTAAATCGAATAAAAATATTCCCAAGTAATTTACTAAGTAGTTTAATTATCTGTAACTAAGCCCAGCTTATAGGGGTTGCAGACGGGCGACATCTAAGAAAGTCATCACTCATGCGCTGTCTCGGATAAACCATATCCTTATCGGTGACGGTAAAGTATGACTGCGAATATAAGTATAAACAAATAGATAGAAAGTATAAATAAACAAAAAAAAACGAATAATTTCCACAAGCGATTGAAATGAATAAATAGTACGATATACACAATGTGCATTGTAATTATACCGGCCGACGTCATCGTCTGTTGTATTATGGCTTCGAAACAACTCAAACTGGCACTCTTTTTTAAACCTCTGTTTAAACCCCTTGCTTCTGTCTTATGTTTTTTGCGCATGAGCGCAGGATATTAAGTAAACTTTACTCATAGAACATACGTCATATTCGATAAAAGGATGGAACTAACGGTAATGCTTAATTGTCGTAAACAGTTGTCTGTCCAAAGGTCAGGATAACAAACAAGGCTTTGATTATGATTGTCTTCGTTCCATCGTAATTGTTTGCTCGTACTTGTATATCTAAAAAAAAAAGGATGGCTTTTTGAATACCGAAGTCGACTAGGTTTGCTGGAGTTGGAATCGCCCTAGAATCCCATGTTTTGTCCCTTCTTAATCATAATGGTCGGCGGAGCTATTTAACCTTAGTTACTTTTAGTACGGCTTGGAGATGAAACTCCTCAGTCCGAGGTTATTACTAAATACAATAGTACGTTATTATATTGTACATTCTAACTTACGCTTTCAAACAGTAAACTTCAACCTATGGAAATAAATAATTAATTAACTCCTGTTTCCTCTTTCGTAACCCTTTCGTAATACGCAGATCTCGGGATGATGTCATAAAATATTGAACACGATTTGTGTATCGCGTAATACCACTCAACTAGAACGATGAAATCATGTCAAACAGTCGCGGTTTCTTATTTTTTGCGTCTGTCATAAATCCCAGAAGCTTAATTTTGAACTCGAACAACACATGAAACATACTCATATTATATAGATACTTAATGCAGTCATCTATCTTTGCACTGGGCCCTTCTAAGCAGTTCCTTAATCATAACTCCTACGAAACGAATAAATAATAACTTAGCAAAAATATTGATTTGTGTATCCCTCTGAACTTTTTCCGATCGCTCAATTGCCCACCTTAACTTTTCAATCAGCCCCAGAAAAGTGGCACCCATTCGGTTACGGACACCTAGGCCTTGTGCATCACTTGTCGCATTGACATTATTTCATTATAATATAAAGCAATACGTGTAGGGGAAATGTTAGACTAGACGGTATCTATACTTATCTGCTTTGTTAGAAATAGATAACCTGTTCTTGTTTGATTGTGTGAAATTTATAAGACATTTTTTCTTTGTCATGTAGCATTTATCATTGAAATAAACACGGCAGCATTATCGAGAGATATTATAGAGCAATTCTTAGCCATGAGCTGGAAACGTTACCAAAGACATGAGCGCTGATTTTAACTAATAAAAATGTCCGTTGCCCTAACGAAAAAGAACAACAAACGACACGTCTTGCTAAACATTATCTTTAAGTTGTCCCGTAATATATAGCTAGACGTTATAAAATGGCCATAAAATGTTATCCGGTCAAATATCGTGAAGCTTGCCACTTTGATAACATAAATCAGTATGTTTTTTTTCTATGCATGTTTATCGGTCCTTTTTGAGCCTTCGTTTGGTAGATGTGGTGAGAACCTTTGTGTATGAACTTTGAACGCGGCTGCCACTAACATATAAACTGGTTTTTATCCCAGGACATTTAGGTCGCGCTAAATTTCATATGAAGTTTACCTAAGCGGAAAATTATTTGTTCGCAGTAAAGCCGTTTCTACTAGCATGACGTATTCATTGCATCCGTTTTAGAAAGGAGACGCTGTTACAATAAGGATTAATTTGATAGTGTGACAAATATTGTAGGTTTTTTGCGATCTCTGGACAAAAGAGCTGTTGCCGGTTGGTCTATGCCGTGACACGAATAGCATGACATATTAATAGTACCTGTTTGTTTCTACCTTTAAACATAAAGATTCGTAAACTTATTCATCTTTTTCTTACACGTACTACGCACACGTAGTAAACGCCACCCTTCATAGTCCTAGCATTTTTCCTACTCTAACATGCTCAGCCTGAACCTATCGTCGCTCGAACTGGCCGCAATTTTTCTAACACCATGCTCCATTACCCCCGTAATTTCCTTACAGTTACCCCTGTTGCGCCCTCGCAGTTTTGTTTTCTCGTAGTTCTTTCGGTAAACCTTGTTTCGGTAAACCTCTGCATTGCCTAAGGAATTTCTTTCTGTTTTTAAATTATTAAGACGATTGCTATTAAGGTAACTAAGGTCATTGTTTCTGGCAGTTTCATTATTTTTATTTATAGTTTTCCTATATTTTTAAGCATTATATATTTTTATAAGCAAAAGATATCTTTTTTCCGTGTATTTATTGTGCATGTTCTTTTTAGCACAATATTTTCTTGTATTGTAGGCAAAAAAGCAAAAGAGTTCCTATCGCTTCGTCAAACGGAAGCAAGAACATATTTTAAACGAGGCCTCAAGGCCTTCTGAGCTAAGATGAACGTTGCTATCGTCAACAAATTTAGTGAAAGCATAAAAAGTATATCAAAATACAATTTAATTGTATGAGCTCAGTGAATAGTCAAAATATCTAAACTTAAAATTGCTATGTCTAAGTACCTCTAAATCACAATGGCGGTCGAGGTTGCTCGTAAGGGTACAATTCTAAATTATCATCATGCTAACATTATATGAGACCTTCTTTCATAGTGAAGCTTTTTTTTTTTTTACCACACTTTCCTCTTTCAATTTGTTCAAGTTGAGCAATGTAAAAGAAGGATCTGTCGATCGATTTCGAGCTCTTTCTCTAAATAACTGTTAACTATTTGGGACAGGTATGTTATTTTTAGCACCAAACGATATATAAGCCAGCCGGACGAAGTGTCTCCCGCGGTCTCGCAATCTCAAGTCAACCCAAGTAGTACAACGAATCTCAAGTTTTTTTTTTTAGCAGCTTACAAAGATGTACGCAGACAGACTTCTTCGTAAGGTGTTGCCTTCAAACTTTTTTCACACACTTCAGCAATCAATATCTATTCTGTCTCTAACATATTTACGTTTGCAGGACCCGCCAAACAACGTAGCGCATCATATAATTTTTTACTTTTTGTACGTCTTTCTCAGCTGTATGTCTCTATATGCTACATAGGCTCAACAAAACATGAAGGTATCTTGTCTAATAGATGTTCGCTCACAGACGGTGGTCCTTGAATCGGACATTCTGTTAGTTTTCCTCTCGCACATCCACGTTGGTGTGTGGTTACTTTCATCCAGCACACGCTCTTGGTCGGTGAGCTCAAAAAAGGAAAACCGGTGTGCTGGGTGCGCGCGACAGCTGCAGAAGTTTCACTATTGGTTCTTAAAGAGATAACAATGTGGCCAGGTGCGTAATTCATAAAACTATTGCCCACAGGTGTCCTGAATAGCGCCGTAGGTGTGCAAACGGCTTTGGGTCTTGTTGCCGCCATAGCGAGAGCCTCGAAGCCTACAGTTTGTGCCTATACCTAATAGAGACCCTTTCTCCAGTTCGGGCGAGGGTCAGAGGAGGGGCTTCACTCGACTCGCCTTCTATCCACGAGCACGCTGCTGGCCAGTCGTGTGGTTTTTGACTCACGGCTACTTCAGGAAAGCCCGTCTGATTTTTCGGTTGTCCTGATGGAGCTTTAGTGACAAAAGGTGCATTGCAGTTGTAGTGCATATATATATATATATATATATACACATATACATATACAGATATATATATATATATATATATATATATATATATATATATATATGCGCAACTACAACTACAAAACCGTAACAATAGCGGCGAACAACGAGCAACACCGAAATTAAAGACATCAATAAATGTGTAACCTCGAACAAATTAACAAGCGACGATTGAGTGTGTTAACAACTTGGTGGCGGACGCTGTCGACACCGTTACTATTTAACAGTTTTCATTATTCGGTTCCGATAAAGTACCGTTTCACAGAAATCATTGTTAGACGCTTTCTCGTTGTCCTCTCTGTGTGAAAGCAATAGCAACGAGGAAAAAGAATAAAAGACCTAGGATTATAGACTACACAGTGGTCGAGCGCTGCTTCCCATGTGGAGCAGTTGTCTTGACCGAAAACGAGCGGTGTTTTGTCAAAGACACTTAGCAGTTAACTCACGACCCATGAAAACTTTGCCGCTAGCCAAACGTTCCGCCTATCTGTCCAGTCGGTCATAGGCAGTCGCACCAACCATGAAGTGGCCCATCGTCGCATCTACCTGGCTCAGTGTTGCTGTTGCCAACGTGGTACCAGTTGTGGACCCATTGTGTTCGACGAATATTGCCAACAACAACAGGACCAGCATACAAATGGCAATTGATTGTGACGACAGCGACTTGTACGACGCTATCAATGGAGGTTCCGTAACGAATTCGAACACCTCTATCGGTTCCTGGTCCTCTTCAGCCTCATCGATGGCCTCGTCGTCGGCGGCGTCGAATGGGGTGCTGACAGGCAGCCAGAGTGTCAATGCCACGAGCTCTGTTAGGGCGAATTCACTGACGAGGGAGCCGAGGTATCGTCCCTTGGTAGACACCATCGTTGGGACGGCGGTTCTTGGCGCCATCCTTCTTATCGGAGTTGCAGGCAATATAATGGTTGTTGCAGTGGTCGCCCAAACGCGCTCAATGCGAACTCCGACGAACTGCTATCTCGTCTCGTTGTCAGTAGCCGACCTCATGGTTCTGCTATCGGCAATCCCGAATGAGATCCTCGCCCAGTACATCCTTGAGGACGAATGGATCTTTGGCCGAGCTGGCTGTGCAATGTTTGTTTTTTTCCAGTACCTGGGCATTAACGCCTCGTCTTTATCAATTACGGCATTTACCGTCGAGCGATATATCGCCATCTGCCTGCCAATGAAGGCGCAGACCATGTGCACGGTGAAACGTGCTAAGAAGATTATCCTCGCTGTGTGGTTGTTTGCGCTGTGTTACTGTTGCCCATGGTTATTTTTTCTTACGACGACACGGCCAATCTACTACCGGGGCCAGGAGCACCGTTACGTGGAGACGTGCACGTATTCACTGCACCGATCGTTCTATATGCGTTTTTTTTTTGCCGACATCATTCTATTCTATGTAATTCCGCTCATTCTATCATGTGTCTTGTACGGGCGAATGGCCCAAGTGTTATTCCATACGGACATTGGTGCGATGACGACGGCAGCGAAGACTGCCAACGGGCAGACTACAGCTAAAGTCAATGCTAATATGAACAACCAGTCCAGAATTCAGGTAACTATGATGAAAGTTTTCCATATTTTGTACAATGTAATGCAAAAAGAAAGGGATATTTATTTTGTTGTAGCTTTGTCCTCTTCTATCGTTGTTGTTTTTTTTTTTGTTTCTTAATTGATAAAATAATGTACATTGTAACTTAGAAGCTGGCTAGTAACTGGAAGGCCTACTAGCCGGCCGTAGGTCAGAATGATCTGTTTCGAGGATTTGGTCATCAGGGCTGTAATGTTGGCTTAACATAGGAATACGAGAGAAACGAAGTTATAGGAAGTTTTTAGAGTAAACATCCTTCATGACTACCGCCATTGATTTCGTTTTAAACTGAGTACCTATCGCACGCCAAATCAGACCAGTACATTTTTTGTGCAAGCAATACGCAAAACTCAGGCATCTTTGTCAATGAACACCTTGCTAATAAATGTTGCGCGCTTCGTGGCGATCACGTTTCTAAACACGCCGCTATAAAGAGCCTCGCAGGTTACTTGGTCCTGAGTAAAAAAACTCCGATCTTTTGGCCGAAGCAAAATACACTTACCGTAAACTTGTGCCGGTTACACATGCCACCAACAGTTCTGTGCCTAATCTCTCACGGCTCACCTCCATAATCAGGCCGAACCACCCGCAGGGTCACTTGCCCGCTTGAACTCCCGTACATTGCAGAGACCCTCAACGAAAAATGCTTCCTCTACCACGATTAATTTCCTCCTCAGGAGAGAACTCGAGCTAGCCGAGTAGACACCGGGAGAACCTTGCGCATCTTTGTCAACTACAATTGTTTTTCTCAAAAGTTTCTCCTGGGAAAGAAGAGTATTAAAGTCATGTACTTGATCGAAAAACAAAAGAAAACCAGAAGGGGAAACAACGAACAGTGGTAGAGTGAAAAGTAGTTTAAATAATAATCTAGCTTGTTCGAACTCTGAGGGTTCGAAATGCATACCAGCGATTAGGAACGACGTAATCGAACCGGGTAGTGCGTCTATAAGAATTCTGGCCTACATTGGTGACTTTGCCTTCTTCTAACATAGACGCACTAGCTTAACAAATTCATTCTATCATCCTTGCAGTATCTCAAATACTCATAGGTTAAAGGTTTGCTGCTAGATACCTTTCTTTGGGCAGAAAATAAGGCTATTTTTTTTTCGTATTTCATAAAACTTCTATTAAACTATGTTAAACCAATGTAACCAGCAGATATTTGTGGCATTGTAAATCTACATTGTGGACTGAAAGGATCGCCGAATAAAGTATCTTTTGTTGATAGTTTCTTAAAGATAGATGAGTCGAGGATAGCCAGTTTTAGTTATGGGATTATTTAGTGTATAAAGCTAAGCTACAATTTAGATCTATATATATATATATATACATATATATATATATATATATATATATATATATGTATATATATATATAATCAAGAAAATTATACCGTAATACAGTAAACGCACCGGTGTAGTTTCCGTTTTGTCTCGTATCGGAACAACAGCTGCATTCAGCTTTGTCATCAGCAAATGACGAAAGCCTTAATCTCGTCAGACTGGACTTAGATCGAATCTTATGAATACAAATCTATGGAACAGGTGTCCCTCTTTGGTACTGTTCATTGTAGTTTATAACAGTTGTATTTGAAGGAATGTTCTTGCGACTATTATTATTATTTTTTTTTGTATTTTGAGCTAAAAGTCTGGAATGATCAGTTCCTAACCCTGGAACCTACGATTATTACCTGTATCGTTTAGTATAACGAATCTGGGGCTACAACTGGTTCAGCTGAAGTGTGAATGTAACTCTCCGTGTGCCAGCATATCAAAAGCTCTTTACTGGTTGTTTATTTATTTATTTTGCCAGGACTGCCTCACAACTTTGAAAATTATAGTTAGTTCAAAACAAATATGTTACAAGCTTTGTAGCATCTCGTCGAATACAGTACAAATCAGCTTGGGATCATTTTTGATGCTAGAGCAAGCTTACACCTGCAGTGAGTTTTGATCATACCGATATAAATTCGGAGATAAAAATCATGCTTTAAAGTGAAGCTACATGCTCGATAAGCACGAAACCTATAAGATACTTGAATACGTATATTTGTTTCAAATAATTTATTTACATAATAATTTATAACACCGCAAGCAATTTATTCTCAACCTTTCCTTTGATTTTTTAGTCATTTAAGGTTTTTGTTGTGAGTTTTAAGTTGAAGTAATTTTACGCTTGAGTAGGAAAGCCATATACAGTCAATCAGGGTATCAAACGAACTATCCACCGGCAAATCGTTAGGTATATTAATAGTCAGTATATCTTTACAATTACGTTGGTCGTGATATCAAAAATAAATTGACTCTATCTAACATCGACTTTTATGTTTTATCTGTTTCACTTACGGGAGCACGAACAAATTATCGTTTTGTAGATATTGAGATGCCAAACAACGAAAACGAAATGTTTACTTCTCACATTAAACCATCGGCGTACGAGTGGATTTGGTGAACATTGCCCTGGTGGGGCAAGTCGTCAGCCATCTTTGTCCTCACACGCTGAATAAGGCAAACTTGGGACTTGCATAAAGGTATTGCAAGATGGAACTGGCCCTTAGGCTCCCATTTCGAAGGTCTCTCCGAAACTTTTTCTAGGTTTCTGTAATACAGACAAGAGAATCGAACAAATCTTTTGCTGAGATTTATCACTTTGTATTGTCACATCAAAGCTAACGTGTAACCTTAAGTGATTCACGAGGGGTCCACTCTTTTGACATATACGTAAGCAAATTAGAAGTACGTAACTGAACTCCCATTGAGTAGTAAAGCTTAATTTCGAATTTGTTTTAGTAATGACAAAATTGAATAAGCAGCCAATTGATTAGTAGCTTCCATATACCGCATCATGGTTAATAGGCGACCACGTACAGCAGGCAGAAGACTATAAGATAACTAAGCACTTGAAATAGAGCGTCGCTTACGATGCGTTGGTGTTCTACGTTTGAAACTGAGACCGAGTAAGAAAGACTTTGTATAGTGTAGTCTGACATAGCGTACAATGTATTGAGTACATGTGTAACATACTAGTTAGAGTTGGTAAAATTCTCTTTTTACCACCGTCCAGGGGAAACAAATCGACCTACATTACATTACAGCCGTCTGTTCCGTTGCTCCTGTTAATACCTCGGCCTTGTTACGCCTCCCGGGAGGTTTTGACAAAAACAGCATATCAAACCGTGTAAATCAATGCTAGCTTATAAACAAACATCTAGGTACATATCAATGCTATATAAATTATACATTTCGATAGTATTGTAGCGTGTGTTCAAATCCATGTAACCCCTGGATTTTCGGGTTATCGGACACTATATAACGAAGACGAGTAGTTTCCTTCCAGTAAAGCCGTGAGGGAGCTATAAACCCCATCTGAATAGAGCAGTATAGGCCAACGCTTCACTCCGTTCCTTCATACTGTATATCAGTAAAGAATTTCCTCTTGTGAACAATTTATGACAGCGACGTTCTGGTCCTTCTAGCTTACCACGTCCTTGGCGTACGTATATATCATTGGCGGAATTTAACAAGACATCAACTATACGTGCAATATATAGCATATAAGCAGAGGTAAAACAGTCTTGCGAAATCTAAACCGTATTGCTTTTTCTTATCGTATTTATTTAGATTTAACAGCTAGGTCGCCTCAGCCTGCTGTTTGGAAAAGATGAGACATTATCACGCAACCTAACGTGAAGATGTCCTCGAAGTACAATACCGTTGGCACAATTTTGACATGATGGCAGCTGTTACGAACTTCACTTTTAAAGCTGTTATCCTTTTTCAAAATGTGTGCCTGGGTGGCCTCGAGTTACGTTGCTCTAGCTATCAATGCACGTGCAACGGTATCTGACGTTCGTTCTATGTATGACTTCGAAACCCTTGCCAGTAAAGGACACCATTCGTCGAGCGATTTATGCAGTAGTACGAAATCATTCTATAATACAATAGGTTGTCGGTGCGTGAACGCTCTAAGAGGATACGTGTAAAATCATGCAGCCGAAACGTCTTGAATCAAATATAGATAATGGCGTTAGGTATATGACTACTTCAATGGGGGTAAACGTAGAGTCTTCGTGCCCGCCAAAAGTCAAGTCATAATGTGCATACGTTAGGACTTGAGGCCTCTTTCCGTCTAGAAGCCTGAATGCGCATATTTCATCATTATTCAAACAAATAGACGGATGCATTTAGAAACTATGTATTCGCAGATATGAAATTTTAATGCACAGCTAATGGTTTTGTAAAGCTGGATTGTCCTGGAAAAGTATTGTATTTTTTTTTATGGGTTAACATATTATAAAATGTTTATACTTATTAGAAGTAAGTAAAACTACTCTAGGTATTTTATCACTATTATTTTTTAAACAACCTTTTTTTTTAGTTAGATAGCTATTTATTATATTTGACTCTGCCGGGATTTTCAGTGACGACGATGTAAGGTATCGCGCCCTGCACATCTACAGTATTCTGAAATAGCCGGAAAAACCATCAAAGTGGCCTCTATTACAATAGGTATTAGATAGCTTCTTACAATAACTGCTGAAAAGTTTTATCAACTTTATCTTACACGAAAGCTTATACTGCAACATATAAAATGTTGAGAAAACTGTAACATACAGTGGCGACGAGTGACATCACGCCTAAGTGTTCAATCACCATACTTATTATATGAAAATTTGCCTGAGTTCTTATAATTTGCCCACTATTGCTTTCATTCTGCTTACCCTCAGTAGAATAGACCAAACGGCGAAGTACAAGCTAATCCCTTAATGTTTAAAAAAAGTTTTACTTAAAGTTTGCAGGGTTAGATGACCAGTGTGGGTCGCATGATTGAGCTGTACATGCAAAACGTTGCCGCGGAGGGTATTTTTTTTCTTTATTTAATGGTAATTTTTTTTTAGTATATATTTACTTATTTATATAATAGTAATTTTATAATAATATAATAGTTAAATTTAGTAGTTTTTC